CATTTCCAGCAGAAGCCATACTGTGAATACTATTCAGGTCTGGAACTTGTACTTTGCTCTCAAGAATATCCTTGTTCTTCTTATAAACATCTTCGACATTGCTGCTGTTACTTGGTCGTAAGCCAATCGAAGCTAACAGATCCATCACCTCTGGTCTCATTGGCATGGTGGTTGTAGTAGTACTAGTAGTAGTTGTCGTTGTAGCGGCTTGACGAAATCCTGCAGAATTCAAGGAATACGTGGAACTATACTTCACTTTCGAAGACGTTTCGGTGGGCATGGGTGTCACAAAAACGGTAGTTGGTTTTTCAGAACTCGACATCAAGTTTTCCGCAGTACTGGTATCTCTCATTAAGACTTCTGGTCTTGATGTCGAAGAAACAGTAAGATGATCTTCAGGCTGCACGTTAATAGTTGGAAGAAACGGTATTTTGTCGAGTTTGGAAGGTACAGTTGGTTTCATAATGGTACTCGGCGGTGCGTTGTAACGCCATTGACTAGATGTCAATATATTCTGATTCACTTTGGATCTTTCCAAGTCGATAGTAATTTCCTTAGAAGCTGGTTTCGTGGTAGGTTTATGGGTAACGCTGGTGCTATAAACAATTTCTAATCCAGTATCGTTGCTTCCACTATTTCTGTAAATTGGATATTGCCTCGTGGTCGTTTTCTCAGTGGTGAACGCGTTTTTCTGAAGATTCTCCAGGTTGAAAGTAAACCTGATAGGCGTGGAATCCAGTTTCAACGATTCCTTTAAAGGCACCTTCGTACGCACTTCTGAGTACGTGTCCCTGTGATTTTTATAATGATTCTTCATCGTAGTAGATTCTTTCGAAATGGTCTTATAGGAATTACGATTTACTATTAAATTCTCTGTAACTAATCTTTCGGAATTCTCTACGTTGTTATTCTCTTTTTTCGTTTTCCCTTCGTCAGACTCGTCTTTATCATTTTCTGATATTAGAAAATCAGGAATTATCTTCGTCATTGGTGGTTTCGTGTAAAGGTCCCTTAAGTTTCCAGGTGATTCGTTAGCACTGTAAGGGAGGACAACCATCAACGCCCTTTGATACAAATCCCTCGCTTTTTCAAATTTTTCTTTGTCTTTGAATTCGTACAAGTCCTGGGACGTGATGTTTTCCAGAATATTCACTATTTCTTGTCTAGTTAGCCTAGGCAGACTGGGGTCATCGCGAACCTGTCTTTCGACTTCCTCGATCGTACGGTTGATTGAGCTCTCGATCTCGAATCTTGACGGAAGTTCATTGTCCTGGCAGTGACCTAGACTGAAGAGGAGCAGCAAACAGAAAACCGCGAACTGCGCAAACAATTATTGCATCGATTAAAGTATCGTCGCAATCTTATTTATTATGCAAAGAATTGCAAGATAAACTACGATTAAAATTTTGAATGCCAATTGCATTCGAAGAATTAACGATTCCACGTTATTAACGCACTTTGTGGTTCGCAACTGCTTCTCGGAATAAATTTTACACGTAATCGCTGACTCGAAACGAATACAGAAATCTAGTTCATATTCGCGATCACTTGTATCATTCCCTTGTTGAAAGTCAATTAATCAAAATTCTTTCTAAGACATTGTTAACATTTTTTCAATCTTCGTCGAGAATTACAATTCTGTTACAGGCCCATATAAATGATTCTTAATGAAATAGTTATCGAGTTTACGTAAGATGCATATTGCTCGCGCTTTTTTCCTTCGAACATCTAGAAACGATTGCAATCAGTTGAACTCAGTACCGTGTCTCTTTCATATTCATAAAACAGCTCTCGCAAAATATCCTTGACTTATTTAGCCGATCGAGAAAGTCCAATAACCTGGTTATGTTATGCAATGTAGTATAAAAATTGAACGATTCCTGAATCTGAGAAAAATTATATAGAATAGAAAAGAAAGGTACAATTTACATGATACCATAATCGTAATTTCCGGCAGCGCTTGTCATACCGCTGTGAGACAATTATCGAAAAAAATTACTACTATAATAGACGCTGTATTTTATAACATGCCACCGCTGTTACCTATACTGTCACTAATTGTTATTGGAGGTGTTGAGCGGCCTGGAAACGTGATTTTGCTACATTCGTTCCTTTCGACTTCCAGAAAACTTTCTAGATAATTTTTTATGTGCTCGTTTCTTGAAATGACTATTATTTTCCGGCCGATTTCCGGCTAAACCGAGTTTAAACCCTGGCAAAAATGGTTCAAGTATTTAGACTTCCCTGCCATTTCGTCTTCGTGGATAAAATTTAATCGGAGGAGAAACCAGGAATAACTCGAAGTTTTAAAAAACTGTACTTAATGTATTTCCATTTCACAGCGTTATAAGTATTTCGTGTAATGGAAAAAGTATTATGTGGAGTGATTGTGTTAAGCAGTGAAATTAGACACGCTGGATGATTTACGATAATGATCTTCGAAGTCGAAAGTCACTTTCGTCTTCGATGACGTGACCCTTTTCACGCGTTAACACGAGCTTATTGATCTTGCGATTTTCACGTATGTCACTTTGAACAAACATTTATATAAAGAATATACCGTTGTTTTCCTTTGCCATATCGAATCGCTTAAAATTTATAAACACTAACAAAGATATTTTCCAAGTGTCATCTATCTCATTTGGAATTAAATTCGAGCAATAGTAAAGTGAATGTCACGTATCACTCATTCAACTTTCAGTATTATTCCATTAATAAATTAGTAACGACATGCGAAAGTACCGTGACATACAATCGATATTTCTTTATGTAATCAAAATGAGTAATATGTTAGAATTGTCCAACGATTAAATTTAAATTTATTGATTTATTATTATCATTAGCGATATGATCATTTACTTAGATCAAGCTCGCGTAACCATGAAAGCGGGCTATTCATCAACAGCTATCAGAAAATTGTTACGAGGATCTTACTGATTCTTGTTACGATCATTAATAAATAATGTTAAATAAATATCCCATTCAAGTTCTACAGACACTTGGAAGTTTTGTACTATCAATGAATGATGGAAACTTCGATTTTTCACAGAAATTATTTTTTTGAAACAACAACACTAGAACCGCCGAGGAACTTACCATTACGGCAACCAATCGTCTTGGCACGCAGTTGACTACTGACTGAACGACTAAGGCCTACTTTCCAACTCTCTCTCTATCTCACCCGCTTATTTTGCTTCGACTGTCCTCCTGCACGTGGCTTTGGTTCATCTATAGATCTGAACGTTGCAGGTGAACCCATCACTTGCTTTTTCCCTCCGTTTTTCGGCACCTTAAACAGTATCCGACAGTGATCGAACGATGCACACGCTTTCTTCTTGTCGCTGATATGAAATAGAAAGGCTGGCTTGATCTTTCATTTTCAAGGAGAAAGAAAGTACCGGGCGAGATCGGTAGTCATGTACAATTCGGGATGAATGAATATTTTGAATCGACCGTCGTGCGCTAGTTCGCGTAAAATGGTGAATCATAAGTTTGTGACTTTTGGTAGCTTGGGAAAAGTCTTCTATGGATTTGTTGGGTGAGAGTTGTCAAGCAAAATAATAATTTTAATCTACTTAAAATGATAAAAAAATTGATCGATTGAGTTTCTCCAGTAAATATATTGACATTAATAATATACAATTATAGACTGAAATTTAATTCGTAGCTTCGATTTGAATTGTGCTCGTATACGTAAGTACTTTGTCAGTTATCCCAGATATAAAAAGTTACATATAAACATACTAATTGTAAGTCCATATATACTTTGAAAAAAGATGCTATGTCGATAATATTGTTATACGACGTTACCGATTCAGTATAAAAAACAGATTATAACGTTAATGATTGGAATTAAGATTGAATTTAGCTATTGCATTATAACCATAGACGAGACGTAGAATAGTTATAATTTGATCACACAGAATTTAGTGAACGGTGATTCTACATACCACGAATGGTATATACGAAAAAATAGACGCACCATTTATCGGTAGGTTACCATGGGAGAGCTTGTTTTAGAAAATGTGCATATACCATTTGCTATAAAGATAGTCGTCTGTGTAGGAATATGAAATATACATATTTACTATTTAACGTAAATTTATATTACTTCTGACAAATCAAACAACTCATGAATTTTCACATTTGTCAAATTAGTGACACTTCCTCATTACGACTTAATCCTGTCATCGATGTTTTTTTTATATATTTTCCTTTGTTCGTTAATTAAATTATATTTATTCATTTCAAAATATTATTACATACTAATATTTATAATAATTTTGTATATGCACGATAATATTTTATAGTAACCTGTACATTCTAAAATATGTTATATGTATACATATTTATATTTATTTCAAATACACGTAATAATAGTTTTACATTCGTTTAATGTATATAGCTATCTCGTATCTCAAGGAAATCCAGAATGGACTCTTAACGCGCGGGATCCAATGTGACAATAGGTCTATTCTGTACCTGTGCCATGAGTATCCATGTATAATCTCAGCGGCTTTCACTTTCACCAAAATACGATATGTATCCATTGGTACATACATGCGTATGATTTCAATTTTTCAAAATTATTTAATCCGAGGTCTGGGCTCTTAATTTTTACATAATCTTTGGAAAGTGAGGAAAGAAGTAACAGAAAATAAAAGGGAAAAGAGAAATATAAAATAATCGTACCAAGGTGTGGTCGATGATAAGAAAGATAGATAACAAATATCGACAAAATACTGCTAAGCACAACATTATTGATTTTTCTGTCCATTCGTTGTAACAAATACGATCCAATAGAGGTAAAAGTGGGGAACTCACTCTCACTGCTCGCCAGTTAATGCGGCTTCGTCACTCTTGCCATTTTCAAAACTCTACGACCATCGCGTCAGTTCGCCTCTCCCGTTGACGAGTTTTACAAGTGGAAGTCCCTCGAAGAAAAAAGGATCGAAAGTGTGAGCTGAAACTGCGTTACAAACGGCCCCCGCATTTCCAAAATGGAGATTGAATTCAACAATTTGGACAATTCCTTCAGGAACCTGAGCTGCGATCACAATTACGTGCCCTCTGCGATAGAGAACATAGAAAGTAAGCTTTTTCCCGTAGAGGTCCATCTTCTATCAATTACATAATTTTTTCTTCGTTCTATACTGGTTGATGTTATTTAAATGTCAGTGACATTTTTCTATGTATCGATAACTATGTAATTCGCCTGACTGCTGTTCGACGTTAATTTTATATCATTAATGTCGACGATGTAGACTTCCTGACATGTGAAAGTTTAAAGGAGAAACTAAAACTGAAATTTTAATTTTAAATTGCAACATTATTTTTCTGTATTTTAATATGATTTTATTGATGGAGAGAGATTACGATGGAGAGAGAGAGATTACGATTTAGCTGAGAAGCATGGCTGCATTATGGTTGTTAGCGTCGTTAAAGAGTAAACCACGAAATATTCTGAAACAGTACGCAAATAACATTTTATTATAGTGTTTCAAACAATGCTTCGCGTCAAACACGAGCACGTTTATGTAACAATTTTCATGAAAATAATTTTCTCTTTGTTAAATCCTGGAAAATGTCTGAATTTGTCTTTGGTCTTAGCATACAACATTTTATCGATTACTTACAATAATTATACATATTGAAACGCTTTATTCAACCAAATTGACGTCGAACCTTTCACGTGCTCTGATCTACGGAGCATGCGCGGAAGCGAATGCGTCGGTGAAAGTTTTCCACGAGGATTGTAATATATGTTAGGTTAAATATGTTAGTACACGGTAAACTAGGGAAACTTCCTTCTAAACGATTATTATGTATGACCTGAGTACTAACGAAGAATACTAACGAGGGTACAGATATCTTCATAGGAACAATTCATAGGACATAAATTTCAGTTTAGAAAAAGTTCATCGAAATGAAGATATCCAAATAATAAATTACACAACGCAAATTAATAATGTACACACTTTCTGGAAATTACATATTTGACCAAACCAGTGAATGGTATTAACTTTCGCTAATATGAAAATAAAATCTATCGTTGATATAAAATAAACGAATAAAATTATTTCTTTCTCAATTCATGCAGTATGAATAAGAAAATGTCATTCGCACAAATTATAACTGTAAGTGCGTCGCGTTATCTGGAATTAAATATTTTTTGTTGAATCTTGTCCTCCAATCAAGCTGGGTGTCGCGAGGCAATCTCCTTTTGTAATTGCGATACACTGTAGAGATGTAGCACTGCATCGTATGTAGTAATTTATAACACAGTACGATTCTATATTACACTTAAAGATTGCGTAACGAGTATCCTTAAACCTACTATATTTTCTAACGTATATTTCTTATATAAAAAACCATTTTTCCTGTTTGAGAAATCACGTCCGAGAAATCATAGAAGAAAATCGTATTCCAATTTCCGAATGATAATATATTGTACACTTTACTGCGTAACGTCTCTGTAACAGCCAGTTTCTTAATCTTTATGATGCAAGAAATTCTTAAAGAAACATAAAGCTACCATCTGATATCTAACCATTTGAGTGGGAGATATTGATTGACCACGTTCTATGAGTCCATGAACTTTTTTATCTTATGTTTTTTTAACACGTCTAGCAAATCGCGTAAAAATTGCACTATCAGATACTGCGAAAATAGAACCTAGTATTTGTAATCCGTATCCTATTCCAGGTCAATCATCTCTGTTTATTATCTAAGTTTTATAAGCTATTATCGTTTCCATTATGATATAGCTCATGTATTGTGTTAATCGATATCAACTGCAATGGACAAATATGTGTAATCGTTATTATTATCATAATACAAATAATCATCTTGAATTTCTTCTAGACGTAGAAAATTCTATTAATATTTTCGCAATTCTTCGTTTATCTGAGCAAAATTTGCTGAATCTAATGGCTAATCAGAAGCATTGTGTATTAATTTTTTATGTCATATTCTATACCTATTTTTTTCCTTTTTTAGGTTTAAATGTGTTTGGTATAGGTTTATTGAGCTTTGGTACCATACTCTCCACTTTGACGCTATACTTCGCCATGGATGCTTTCCACAATATTTTCTACCAAAAGGAAACAAGATCCTACAAAACGAACAGTATCATGATCCTCTCAGTGTATCCTATAGCAAGTGTCTGTAGTCTTACAGCTCTTGGAATGCCAAGGTAAACGAGTTGATTTCCCATTACACTTCTGTCCATTGAAAAATATTTAAAAAATAGATAGATTTTTAAAAATATAAAAACATCTTGTACTTAAGGTATCACTTAAGGTTTTGGTATAGTAATGCACGTGTATTGAAAATCGTTTTATAAGCCGAATGAAGATGACTCTTCGCACTATAAAACTATAAAATGACAATTTTTTATATCGATTTTTAAAAAACTACCAAATTTGACTTTCTCGAAGACGAAATAAATTCCCTATCAAAAATAGTTAAAAAAAAAACTTGAAAAGTGATAACATAACGTAACATAAAATAGGCTAATTTTAGCTAAGATCCACAATAAGATAAATCGGAACGTCCAATTAAGATAAATTTAAGATAAATCAGAAAAGAAAAAGGTGAAGACGCGATCGAATTTCGCACAAGGGACGGAACAAACGGGTAGTACGTTTCAGACATTCTTTTAACGACCATAAAATAAGAGAGCAGTTCCGAGTCCTAGCTAATGATCTCGATTTTCCGAGATAATCCCTGCATTGATGGCCGTGTCACACCTGCGCTGTCGATGCCTAAAATTTGATGGGTCCTCTCGATAATGCAAACGAGGCTAGGACACCGACACGAAAATTCCATCATCAGGAATGTCCATTGATATTTTCAACGTGTTTCGAACGCATTTATCACTTCGTTAGGGAAAATCTAAATTTTCAATTCGAGCGTGCTCCGATACAGAACAAACTGTACTCTGCATTCGTGCATACAAATAATATTTGAAATTATACGCAAACTATTCTATATTCCGACAATGCTAACAATATTTTAATTATTTCTAGGACTCAGTTGCTATCGGAAGCTGTAACTCAAATCTTTTTAACGATAGCCCTGTATCGACTGTATCTGTTACTGGTCTACATAGGACGTAAAAAGGTCACAAAGACACCATCATTAATATTACGAGTTGGTCCCTGTTGCTGCTGGCCCTGTCTGCCCTTTCCAAATCTTGAGATGACCGACGCTAATTTGTCCTGGCTCCGACTACTAGTCCTGCAACTTCCTATTATTCAGGTTATTTCTTCTTTTCCGCCTTGACTTTTTACGCTTGTGCTCGGAACCGTTCTCGTCTCGTAAAAAGTATTTGCCTGAGCTCGTCAAATGTCCATTTCTTAGTATCCACGAAGGTTTGCGATTAGCATTCGTTTTTTTAAACATCAATTAGATCATTCCGAAGAAGTGTACCAGTGTATTAACCAAAGTTTGTGTCTATTGGTTCCAGGGAATGATTTATTGCATATCTCTCTTTATGTCGATCGAAGAGCCTACTCTCGCAACGCAATATGGGATTTATCTCCAGCCATTCACAGTGATCAGCATATTTCTGGGAATATACGGACTGACTGTTACCATGAAGAGTCTGCAGGAAGTCGCTCCAGGTAAAAATTGTGCATACTTAATTGAGAGGACGGCTCTCCAAGCATAATCTTTCCCTGCTATCTCTCTCCAGTGAGTGAAATTATACAGAAGGACGATTATAAAACAATTTTTAGCCATTTCTTCGAATCATATCCTTAACTTCGTGTCCCTTTGAAAAAAGGCACTCCACAATTTTTAAACTCGATTTTATAAGTTGAAGTTACATGTTATAAATTGTCGGCCGTGGTGAGAAAAAACGTTAGCCTCAGTGGATACGATAATAGAACCAAAACGATTCCCTTCATTCAAGGTTAGCAATTATCGCGTGAAAGACCACACAAGTAACTTGCGAGAAAAAGCAATTTCCAAGTTCTTGGAAAGTCCCATTGTCCCCTGCTGTCGTAGTGTTGATAGATATACTCGTTTTTAACTTGCTGCTGATTTCATAGAGGCGAAACTACACCGCAAGACCACAGTATCCCAGATGGTTCTGCTATTTTCAAAGCTACAAGCGTTCATCGTGAAGAGCTTGCCGCAAACAGGCCTATTTCCTTGCAATCCACCAATTACGCCACAAATTTACGCCAATGGTAATCCTTTTTTGTATTCTTCGTCTGAAAAAACCGACAATAACAAATACGCGTACAGTTTTTTAATTTTTTACTAAATCGTTTAAAAAAATCACCACGAAACTAAAAACACGAGGTACTCGCGTACAAGTTGGACAGTGTACGTGTAACATTCGAATTCTAAGAACGCAATCTTGAATATGAATTCAAATTTCCTCGACGGCGAGCAACAGCGCAACTGGTCTGAGAACACATGGAGCACGATGAAAGAACACGAGGCTCCCATAACATTTCCATACGTGAGACCAGATAAAGAAACGAGAACTGTTACTTTCTTCTGTCCGATTTCAGTTACCTACAATGCCTTGATGCTAATCGAGATGCTGTTGCTCTGCTACGCGGCAAGGTACGTTTATTACGTCGATCTGGAAAGGGAAGAAGAAACGACGGCGGTTGAGGCGACAGATCGGTCCAAAGACAAGAGCATGGAACAAGCGAACTCGACGAATAATAACGAGGCCAACAGGCAGCCATCAGCGTTGACTGCGTGAGATTTCCTTCTCGATATCAGCGACTTTACGAATTTCGTCTGTGTCATTTTTACCTACAAACTGATATTTCGTTGTTTGTATTTGCTCAGCCATTTGTTCATTAATTTCGATCGCTTACTCATGCCACGGATATATTTGATAATTAGATTCTATTTGAAACAAATCGTGATAAAATATTAGTATATATTGTTCCGAATCTGAAAGTATAATTAGGATTTATGTAACGTGTGAATGAGATTAGATTTACAATGATAATAGTACCTGCGTGAATAAGTGACTTGTTACAAAAGATACTGATTAGTAAATAGCGTAAGATTCTTTTTTACCTATAAACATCAATTATCCTAGAAGAGTTATCAAACTGCGTACTCCATTTATTGGTAATTGATATAGCTAGTAATAGGAGCATAGGTATTCGACTATTTAGATTTGTTTATGGGCGCTTAAATTCGATTGCGCAAAATGTATGACGCGTAATAACCGCGTTCACGAAGAAATAGTATAATTTTCAAAGAGAAAGTTGGTCCGGGCTAGTAATCCATCTTACACAACGGGACTTTTGCAAGTTGTATCGTAAATACTTGACGTTTCGAGAGTCATCTACGTTAGGAATCTTAGGTACCGTATCAGTAAAGAAATAATACGTTGTAAAAAAACAGAGAAAAATTCATGATCAAGTTACCAGAAGCAGAGTCCCGAATCTTGTCCAAAATAGAAGGAACGTCTTGAGCCGTGTTGCGATTTCTTCATCACAGCGCCTTCTTAACGAGGCCTACCGCAGTCTCTACACATACGTATCGATGTCTCTATCGCGGAAGAAACAGGAGCTGTCGGCCAAAATATGAGATCAACCATACATCGCCGTGTGCGTAAATTCAACAACCGTCGCTACGCATTATCACGTCCTACGGACGGCTGACAGATCTCAGGGGATGCTCGACCAAATGACTTGCAGCCTGCACTCACTTACGAAACGAGGTTGAAGGGTACTCGAGCGCTTTCTGGAGAGAGAAGAAGCACTTCGATGTTCTAACGCGATATTCTCCAAGAAAGAAATCGTTTAAGAAAATGTGTGTCGCTCCATTGAAACGAGACGCTAAAAGAACTTTCTGTGATACATAATTATCGTCATGTGGGTAGTCAGCTTAAAATAAGTGGTCAGGGCCTATACTTTTTAGTTTTAAAGCTATGTATTCAAAGAATTCGAATACAGGTTTTTTATTAGCCCGATGAAAGACAAGCAATCGTTGCACCCCTGCTGACAAACTCCTCTTCTATGAGAGACGAAACGTAACGTCTTCTAGACCCAGACGTTATATCAAAGAATCAATTTTCAGAGTAAGTAGATGCTCTTTCCTATAGCCGAACAAAGGCAAACCTTTTTCGAAGTTTCATTTTCACTTCAATACGTTCCTCTTGATCCTGTTTATAAATAATTTATTGTTCGCAGAGTGGGCTACGTAGAATATTGACACACGTGCAGCTGCATGAAATTCCTTCTAAAGAAGCAAAGGACTACGGTAGCTGGAGAGATAGAACCATGTTAAGTAAAAAAATCAACATTAAGAACTCCGGGTCACGCATGATGGGACTTCCTATTCAGAACGTGCATGCTGCCAATGCTTCTCTATTATATATTCTAGAAAAGTATGTTTTATCGTAGCTCTCGAATTGGAGAATGTCGCTAATTGAATGCATTTGGTTCTATTTTGTGCTAGTTCGTTTACTTTTTAACTTATTTTGTTTATATTTTAGATTTGTGTAATTTACATAACATTTCGTAATTTTTCCAAAATATGGAATAATTTCGAAACACTATTGAAATAAAGAGACAATGTACGAAATACAGGCGATTACAATGTCAGAATAACTGTACAAAATGCATAAGTTTACTTTTTCAGAGATGAGAAAATACGATTCTTTGGATTTGTATCCAATTGCTCAAGGCGACTGAGTGGTTTTGAATTCCTCATGGTTGAACTTTGCGCTCCTCTTACAAACAGGAAATAGGCTCGTGAAACCTCTTGTACGAAGATTTATCTATCAAGAAACTAAATATTGAAACAAGGTATCGTAATACGCATGTTTGGACAATTCTTAAACCTTGGGGAAGAAAGTGCGTTCAACATACACAGTTCCAGACAATTTTCTTCAAATTATTGGAACAAAAGAAAAGGGAGACTACATCTATCGGAGTTATGGATTTAAGACGGAGAGGAACTAGCAGGACGAGAGTGGCGAAACAAAGTTCGAAATTCGAAGACATCCTCGAGTCCCAAAGATCTCTCGAAAGAGACGATGTCAGGAAGAATTATCGCCGGCGTGCATCAGGAAGTGTCCCATTACATTCGAAGCGGCACGGCGATTTTTCTCGTTCTACGTTTTCACCACGGACGATCGATTGTCACCAGGGTGGCGGGTCGGCTTTTCGTACTACCAACAGAAATGTAAAAGGGCCGAATATTAATATTCCGATAACGTGTCTGGACGTATCAGCCGCCTTTGTTTCGTTCCTACTCTCTTCCTTCGCTTCTCCGGCAGAAGATGAACATCCTCGAGATAAGAAATTCCACGAAGACTTCCCTTCCACTTTATTATTCCTCGTCGCGCTCATAGGTTTTGCCGCGACTGCTTTTACCTGGCTTTGCAACTATTATTATAGGACGTGGCAAGTTTCACGATGCACCACGTACAAAGTGAAACAAGCCGCGTTTCGCTCGGTGAATCGTTACAGAGCAAGACCCTCTTGGAATTCATGATTTCGAAAGAACCGTTCCTTCACAGATAGGCTGATGAAAGAAGGAAATTCTTGGAAAGATATCTAGGCAAAGCTTCAATCTTCTTACATGCTTTTCACTAAGGTTCAAACGTGCATTTGGTTTAATCAAGATCATAAACGATACACAAGATCTTTCTGCTGAAATACATTTCAGAGATTACGAACGTTCAATTAGGGTTAACTTTATTTAAAACGACTAGTCTCGAGCTGGTGGTTCTGTTGCTCCATTGATCCTCTTTTGGTCGTTTGAAGCTTAGCGTAAACTTCAAATCAGTCTTTAAAATCTACGCTCGTTCACGGGATCAGGAACGAGAACGAAATCAACTAATGGCAGGACGAAATCATTAAAATTAGTTAGAACGGAAATTTAATCGCGATTATCAACCACAAATCGCCTTCTTGCCAGACGATCAGACCATAGAACAAGCGAACATCTTAAACGAGTTCGTGAGCATGAAGGGACGTGACACACCGCTCCGAAAGTATATTGCGTGCCCCCTCATTTTTTGACCGATTTGAGGGTCTACTGCCTACCTGCAACCTGGCCCATCGAGCCTACAAAATGTTTTCTATCCCTTTCTACTCCCTCCCCCCGTCTGTCCTCTCCCTTCGCCACATTTATCTGCCTGGTCTCTCCTTTTTTCCTTTTCCTTTCATCGCAGACCTTTTTCCTCGGAACCATAATCATGATCGAGCCTCGAACGTGTAATAGATTTAACCGTTTCTTTCGGGTCTCGTGGTTCGTAAGTTCGGTTTAAGGGTTGAAAGAAATCCCTTTGACTTGCATGCATCTTCGATCGTGTGAATTATTAGCTTCGTTTTTTAAAGTAAAAGTTACTCTTCAGGATTTTCTCGTAAGGTGGTTTATTCGTGTGATCGACGATCTGTTATTTCACTACTCAAATTACGATCTTTCGTATCGGTTTATATAATTAAGAAACCGAAAATGTTTTTAGTCGTCGTGATGTTAATTAAAGATTCTTAAACATCCTAATAAAAACTCTTGATGAACCCTAAAGAATAATAATGAGATAGTAGAATTATATGTTTTGTAGCATAAGAAAAACGGTCGAATTACATTTAAGTAGGGGACATCAAGAAGAGATTGAGAATCGTAGCGCCGTGATTCCGAAATTGTTGATTGGTAATCTTCGGTGAAACTAATTAAGGCGGCCGAGCTGGATCCACCGTCCAAATTGTTTTCTATGCCGGCTTCCCCTCTGTCTCGACTAGATAGCCTTGGGGATCTTTTTTAGCCGTAGAACGGCTAATGAAAAAAAACGACGCGACAAGATATTTTGCGACCTAATGAGCTGGCATAGCGACTCTTAACGTAATTATCTTTATGATTTATAATAAACGTGCACTCGTTAGTCGGATATTTCTCTCCGCGGCGCAATTTATGGATTCTTAAGAATTTTACTAGCCGCTCGTGACCACGCGAAACTGAAGCGTGTTCTGGAAATAACGGTGATTTAATTGCCGAGTTTTACGAATAATGTAGCTTCTAATGCACAGACTTCTTTTGAAGAAATCAAAATAAACTTCCACGGAGATCGAGATCTATTGTTCGTCTCTAAGTCGAATTTGTTGCGAAGTTTCTCCGATTCTCGGTAGGGAATTCCGACAAATTCGGCAGGTCTAATTTTATACACGCTGGTATAACAATGCGGCATTGTTTGCCAAGGGTGTAAAAGCCATTCGGAAGAAACTTGAAAATCATCACACAGAAGAAGACTGTTTATTTTCTTTTCTTTATCTTGCCGACTTAGTGCCCGGCAGACCCTAAGATTCTCACAAATGCTTGCAATAAGAAGGTGTTCCTTCGGAAGGCGAACCACAGCTTCTACTCAGAAAATCGCCGAAAATGTTACGTCTCCTTCAACTGTGATCACTTTAATGGCCCATAATCGCTACTTTCAGAGTATCAAAAAATTGTCGCATGCCGCCTCTTCGACGAAGAGCTCAACCATCGTTCAGAACAGCCACTCGAGCGAAAGAGCCAGGATAAATTTTTTCTTCTTGCTGAAAGAATCGGTTGTAGAAAATTCGGCGTGGCGTGCAATAAGAATTTCCAGATCCTCGAGAAGGACGCGTGGCCATCTGTGGTGTGCGCGCGCGAGAAATCGGAAAACGCTTTTCGAGATCGTCGACATATGGCACGCGGGCCAAACTTATCTTACGGAAAAAACATGCGGAGGTGCAGCCTCCGTCGCCTGCCGAAAATGTTGCGGAGGTGGAGACGAACGAGGCGGTTGCCTCTCAGTTCCGATCCAGCGATGGATTCGACCGGCTTTCAAACGAAAATTAAGGTTCTTCTTGGGGTTAGAGAGTACCTGGACCGATTTGATACGGATACGGTTTAGAAAAATTGTAACAGATGGTAACCTCGTTTACCTCGAGTACAACGCTGTTCGACTATTCGTAAGTTAGAATTGCTAATACGTAATTTATGCTGAAACGTAATAATTAAATTGCGACTGCTTGTGTGAATTTATATTTCTGAATGAATACACCAATAGGAATGAAATTTATACAGAAATTTATTTTGTCTATCAAATGTCGTACTACGTTTTGGGTATTTTATGTGTCTAAATAATGTGTATATTTTGTGCATTTTCCACGTCGTTAAATTTCCTATAATTATATAAACATCCGCAATCTAGTAAGAATTATTTGATAGAAACCACTCATTTTTTAATGTATTTTCTCACGAACAAAGTTTGAACGCTAGGATTTTCAAGTTCCTTCTGTCGAATAAGGGTCGTTTTGGCAGGCCACTCTGGAAAACTATTCATCATTCATTTCAATGGGTTTTGAACATCGTTTTTTTCTTTTTAACTAATCAATCATACGAGGGTGGAGTTTCGAAAAGCTGCTACAGCTAAAATTTCATAATTACTAGCATAACATCGGCAAACTAAAAGTGCAAGTACGTGATCGACCGGTTTATCTACTTCATATCCACCGAATCTCGTGATATCTGAGATAATCGTATCAAATCGTGTCAAGTGATAATTACAAGCCTGATCACTCTGATCAAACAATTTAATTCAGAGAGTATTGATAAAAGACATCGGCTAATAAAGTGACAGACCGACGTCTAGTAGAAAAAGTTCTCCTTTAAGTGCTCTAAATTTTCATGCCTATCAGGGAAATGCTGGAAATCAAGAGTCAAAAGCAGGATGCCAGACATCCTGTGGATTTGGACGCTTTCGTAGAAGTAGAAAGATGGTAAAGACCAGATCACCGACAATCTATCATCCGAAAGTAAGCAGAAGCATCGGTGTAGGTCAAAGTGACCGTGAATTTTCGCTATTCAGTGTTCGTCTTGGGCCGGACCATTCTACCACGCGACCATATGGTCGCCGACGACGACGTGGCCCATTATTTTCTACAGGATCCTGAGCACAAGAATGGAAGGCAGGGGGCAGGGGCAGTTGGCTCTCCACGAAATTGCCCGAAAATTGGCCGCCACTTCTCTCTGTTCCCTTCGTTTTTTCCCGGATAATTTCATAATTTTAATTTGAATTTCAATGCAATACTCGCGCCCTGCCAATCACTGCGCAACAGCTTCTCCGTGTCTGAACGTCCAGCCACAAATTAATCCTTTACGCTCGAATCTCTGCTTAAAACATTATTGCACGGATTGCCATTAACGAAGTTGGTATTAAGGTAAACGCTATACCGATTTTATTATCAAACCTTGTATAATGTAGAAGTTTCACGATCAATCAAGCCACGATATATCTCAAAACGAATGTTGTACAACATAATGGTCCGATAGAAAGTTAGCTCAAGTTGTAGTTAGTTTTCAATGCTTCTTTAATTCTTAATTTTATCTCGGAATTTCTCATCCGTTTCGTTACTTGTTGTTTCTTGCGGAGGATAAAACTATTAAGGAAAGGGTAAAATAAAAAGACAAAGGGTTAAAACATTCGATAGGAGGTCGACGCTTACAGCTGTCTTCCAGCCGTTGGTCTATTTAAGTCTTTTTTTAGGCTGTTTCGCCTCTTAGCTTTCTTTCTTCGTCTATATAAAATATGCTAAACGCCCGCGGACCCGTG